GAGTGTTTTGCTTTGCTCTCTCTTCCTTTACCCCTCTCCCTCCAACGCTGCTCTCAGTAGTTGGTTCAGGGATGATCACCATAAATTGGCTGAATTTGCATATGAAGAATCGTTACTTAAATACGTAAACCTGAATCAAAGGAATAGAAATGTTGGACGTACCACTTCTAGAGGGTCCTTTTGCATCATGATGCTACAGATGAAAATGGCAAAGTCCAAGTTTCAATTTATCATAACATTCAGGCAAGCTGTCTATGAGGAGAACTGAAACTATTTTTCTAAAATAAAAACACAGCAGGACATAGAGACTAGAAGAGGGGGAAGCAAGCAAAGATCTCAAGGTTTGTTTTGTTGGCGAGAAAAGAGCTCGTGTCACTGAATGGACTGCACTTCTGTACGGAGAAAGGCTTTCCCAGTGTGTATCAGCTTTAGTACATGAAATCCTGCTGAGGTATAGATGCTGCAGAGAGTACAAGCCTGTTCTCTTTAATAGTCAGCTTTCTTCCTTGCTCCTTTTCCTTTCGTATATACCAACATTAACATTTTAACTGCACAAAAGAAGTAGAGTTGTAGATGTACTTTAGATAATCTGTTACTCTTTGGCATTCAGAGGAGCAGGAGCCCAATACAACAAGAAACAATAGCCTCCAAAGGTCCTTGCTTTAACCATTAGCCTCCGTTGTGCAGTTAGCTCAGTGTAGGCAGAGCCACTTTGAAGCCAAATCTGTTTGCAGAGGACTAGTTACAGTATTAGGGCTGAAGTTAATTCTGATAAAAAAGAGGGGGATTGGTCTCAGAGGGGAGGGTGTTGTATTTTGTCCAGTTCTAACCAGCTGATGCCATGAAATCAGGGTCATGAGAGTTTAAAAATCAGCTCATCTTCATAAAACTTTTAAAGCTAATTATTTCAGTTGCTCATAAGAATATATAGGGAATATATAGAAGACTGTATAGGGACTGGCAGCTTTCTTGGTACAGAGAAGAATTCAGTTCCTATGTAGATGTAGTTCCCAGGTAGATGTTATGCAAGGCGGGAGCACGGTGACACGCAGTTCAGAGCAAATCAGTTGTTGCAGATGTCCTGCACCGGAGGGGTGGTGACATGACTGCCTCACAGGCGCCCTTTAGAATGCTGTCATAGAGGGAACACTAGGAAACACAGTGCAACAGCCATAGTGAAGAAATTCCTATTGAAGAAGCTGGCCAGGGAAAGGATGCGATCTGTAAGTCAAATTTATGGGACTGCAAAGCAGTGGTCTGGGTCCATGTGTTAGCCATTTGCTTGTAGCACTGTATTTGGGATTCTCCCATCAATTCTGGTTTTTTACAACATCATTAATAAGGTAACTGGTATGTAAAGGAGTGAATAATTTAGTGCTATGTACAGTGCAATTCAGGATAGTGTCAGCAATTATAAAAAGTTGAAAAAAACAAGTTGAGGGTAGAGCAGCAAAGTGACAGGCTGGTTGGCTTTGTTCAGCAGAGGTTTGCACAGTAGCCAAGGTGTTAGGGGTAGGATTACCTGCCTGTTTTAATAAACGTTCTGACTTCATACTGCTGTCAGAGCCTCTCCTGTTCCTTCATAAAACTCACAGGGAGGGGTGGGGGCCTGAATGTGTTTTAGTGTGGCTTGCGCTGCTCTGAGGCTGTTGCAGGTTGGAGACGTGCTTGCGGTAGGCTGAGGCCTTTGTATCACAGCTTAAATCTGTCTGGGTCAGATAATGCCGTCAGCAGTGAAGACCAGCAGCAGATGCCTAATGACGGGCTGGCTACTAGAGGACCCCTGTTGGCCTCACGTCCTGATTGTTGGGTCCCTGCCAAGGTCCATGTCAACTGTTGACTGCTCTTTTGCTGCGCAGAAGATTCCTGGGAGGGAGAGAGGCACTGTAGGTCTTCATAAGCATCCTTCTAGGGCTCCGGTGCTTTCCAGAAGTGGGTGCGAAGACAAAATGCTCTTCCTGTCCGTGAGTGTTTGATAGTTTGGACCAAAATATGCTCAAATTGTGTGGCAAGTTCTAAACTGAAAATAGTTCTGGGGGCCATTATGCTAAGCACTGATGGGTACTGGAGAACAAATTTCAAAAAAGCATCAGCGTGAAGGAGTTATTTTCCATTGCTGTACCCTGGCACTGTAAATTCTTAGCTGCAGTATGCAGTTATGTGTGCGTGACTCTCAAAATTACAGGCTGAGCGGTTTATCCTACACTGAATGAACAGGACGGCCACAGTGGTACAGCTGAGGATGCTCCTGAGTAACACGCAGCAGCTGGCCCTGATGTCAACGGAGATTTCATTACCGCAAACCTGGAAAATTGTGCGCCCGTGTTGGAAAGAGGGAGCGGAGCGCGCCAAGAGTGTGTTCCCGGCGTTTCCTTGTCAGCAGAGAAACAAGACTCGGGGAGGGGGATGGCGGGGGGGGACGACGCGACACAGCACCACATGACACAGCCATTCAGTGAGCGCATCTGTAACCAAACCCATCCGTCTCTGCTGGCGGGTGGCTGACTGAAGTGCTATTATTAGCAGGCAGGTGATGTCATGGAGCGTGTCATGAGGCCAGCCAGGGAATCCCACGGAAGATGGATGGGCGAGGGGTCGGGAA